CAGGGATTTTATAGTGACCTTCTATTAAATAAGCCACAAAGGCAGAGTTTCTGAGCTTGAGACTCTAGAAAATGTGGTTTTGAAACTGTTCTTTGATGCTCTGTGAGTGTAGCGAGTTGCTAGCTGCCGGTAAGCTATCTTGAACTCCCAGAGCTACCTTTCCCAGTAATGCAGCCCAGATCTGCATGGCTCTGGGTTGCTACCCGTGGATGGCTTTCTGTACCTGATGACTTTGCTCACTGAAGACCTGAGATCAAGTGGTCTGCAAGCTTGTGTTAAAGTGTTTCCCATAGTCTCCCTGTTATCTTAGAGTGTTCACCTTGTTTCCATATGTTCTTTAATTTCTGTATAAATGTGGCTTTTCTAGTTTATCTCTTTAAATCTTTGATTTTCCTGTAGTACGCCAGACTGCTCACTTGTACCAATTTCACAGTACATCTTGGTCCCTGCTATTACAGATCGTTTCCAGAGGCATTTTCATCTTATCTTAGAAATTTATAGTCACTCTTTTCCATCCCATTGCTACTTCTAGGGCGTAGCATTGTGATGAGGTTCTGGCTGGGGCCCAAGAGGCTGAAGTGCCCTAACTAGATACAGAGCTCATAGGAGGTCCTTTGCTTCTGAGTTCGTGTGTGTGCGTGTGCGCGCGCATGTGCGCGCGTGTGTGTGTGTGTGTGTGCATGTGTGTGTGTGTATTATGAAAAACATTCACATTTCTGGGCAACTACCACTGCCATAGATCCCCACTTTTTTTTTTAATCTTCTCACTCTTAAATTCCATACTCAATCCAACAGTCCTCATCCTCCCTCCCCTCAGACCCAGCAACTGTCATTCTACTTTTTGGCTGTGTGAATTCAGCCACCAGAGTACCTCATATCATGGAGTCAGACAGTATTTGTCCTCCTGAGACTGCCTTCTTTCACCGGGCATATTGTCTTAAGTGTCTAACCATGTTGTAACATGTGCCAGAATTTCTATCCTTTTTAAGGGCTAAATAGCATACCTCTGTATAGATATGTTGCATTTTGTTGAGTTTTTTGTTTTTTATTTTTTTAATTTTTTTATGTTTTTATGTTTTTATTTTTTAATTTTTTTTATGTTTTTTTGCGGAACCAGGGATTGAAGTCAGGCCCTTGTGCTTGCCAGGGAAGCACTTATCTCACTGAGCCATCTCCCCAGCCCCAGAGTTTTTTGGTTTTTGAGATGAAGTCTCATTGTGGTGCTCAGGCGGATATCAGACTTATGGATTCAGTTATCTTACTGCCTCCAGAGGAGCTGGGACTACAGGGATGAACCAGTGTTTGGCTTGTGTTGCATTTTGGTTGTCCATTCGTTGTGGCTGTATTTAGGTTATTTTTGGCTGTGATGAGTGTGAACATTGGTGTTCAAGTATCTATTTAAGATTTTGGGGTATATACCCAGAAAAGGAACTGTTGGGTTCTAATCATATTTTTATGCAAATGATTGTCCTGACTAGGCATAGTTAACTTGCAGAATAGTACATAATAAACTCAGGATTCTTTCGGATAAGTGAACCAGTGGGAAGTTGGTAGTGGACCATCAGCATGGGCTCCTAGAGTGAGGAGGGTGAGGAGTGGATTCATCACTTTGGAGCCCCCTTCCCACCCCCAGTACTGCTGAACATGTACAAGGGTGATAAAAAGTACGGCCAGGGCTTGCATTTACAAAGATTTATGACAGTAAAGGACACATTGCCATTAATCTCCCTAAAAATATTTCTCCATAATTTGAACACATCCCCGTTGTTCTTGCTACTTTCTGAAACAGTGATTGAAGTTCTTTTTCTTTTCTGTCAGGTACCTCAATGTCTAAATTGATTGAAAATGTTTACTTTTCATGGTCATTTTGACTTTCAGGAAGAGCCAAAAGTTGCATGGTCCAAGAACCACTGAATAATGTGGATATGGATATACCATCGTGTTTGTATTTGACAGAGATTGTCATAAGTGGTTACTTAGACATGGATGATTATAAAGTATGGTGAATATTTAAATTAAAACATTTCCTAAAAGACACATTGCCATTAATCTTCCTCGAAATACTCACTTTGAACATGCTTATCCCATCATTCTCAGCAAAAAACATTACAATGTTTTTATTGTAATGTTTTATTTTTAAATTTAAATATTCAGTATATATTACAATAACTGCTTGTAAGTAAAGGTAAAGATGTGACTAGGTGTATTTCCTGTGAACCCTATGCTACTTGTTAATAGTATACTTTTCTTCATTTATCAAGATATACCTAGTTCATGGTATAGATTTAAGACAGTAGTTAAGGGCTGGCCAAATAGCTCAGTGGATTAAAGTGCCTGCAAGCAGGTACAGGGGCTGGGGGTTGTGCCAGCCCTGCTCCCGGGGCACACTGAGATCATAATTGAGACTGGGCATAGTGGCACTCACCTGTAATCCCAGCTCTTGGGAGACTGTAAACAGGTAGGTCACTATGAGTCTGATCTAGTAGTGAGACCCTGAACGCCCTGTAGACCCTTCCCTAAAATACCAAAAATAAAATAAAGTAAATTTAAAAAAAAATAACCAAAACCGAACACATAGTGGTAAGAGCCTAGACTCTGGAATCAGATGACTTGGATTCAAACCCTATTTCCTACATTGATTAGCTGAAAAAGCTACTTTACCGAGGGCCGCAGATTCCCCTTGAAGACTGTGGAGTTAGGTGCATAGCCTGCTTTGCTTGGCACATGGTGAGTGCACGCATAGTAAGACTTGTTGTCCTTATTATTAGTAAGTGGTTACATCTGATTTAGTGATTTAAAAATTTGGAATAATAGAACCTTTGTTTAGATATAGGCACTTTCATGACCTGGTAGTAGAGAGTAGAAAGTACAACCTTTCTGAAAGAAATACGAGAATGTTACTACTCTAAAAGCCTAGCGGCTATCTTATTTTATAAGGTTATTTTTTTTATTCTAAGGAAAAATGAAATTATAAATGGAGAAGTAAAAAACACTTTATTGTATTTTTAAATAGAAAGATTGGGAGAAAAATGCCTAATTTTGTGGAATTATTTATTAAACCATAATACATGAATGAAGAGTGCTATACAGCTTTTAAATTGAGGTCAAGATTCAACCCACCTATTCAGCTTCTAAGTATCTTCCTGAAAAAGTTAGATATTATATTACAGTAATATAGGCATACACATGTGTACCAGCGGCACATCCCATAATATGTTTTAACAGTGAATTCTTAGAACTGTTCTCTATATCCATCAATAGGTGATTGGATAAAGAAAATGCATTTATAAAGAATGGAAGACTATTCTGCTATAAAGAGGAATAAAGTTGAGTCAGTTGTAGGACAGGGATATATGTCAAGACTATAATGTTAACTGACATAAGTCAGGCACATAAACTTAAATATCCTTGGCTTCTCTTATATGAGAACCCCAAAATATAAATAAAGAGGCAAAAAAAGATCATTTCTAAAGTCAAAAGGAATATATAGATAGAATGTGAGTGAGTCATGGGAAAATGTTTAAAATGTGTTATTGAGGTACAAAGATGGCTATTAAAAACATAGTGCAATTTATTTTATTATTTATTTATTTATTTATTTATTTATTGCAGAACCAGGGATTGAATTCAGACCCTTGCGCTTGCCAGGGAAGCGCTTATTCTACTGAGCCATCTCCCCGGCCCTGTAATATTTTAATGAGATAGATGTATTGAAAATATACTATGTATATGGGATGTGTATATTTCATTTATATAGAGATATATTTCATCCCAAGATCTTGCCAGTGGTTTGTTTGTTTTAGAATAACAGATTTTAAAATTTCTTATGCTTTTACTGTTTTTACCAAATGTTTGGCATTGGGCAAGTGTTATGTTTGTGTCAGGGTGTGAAACACCACTTCCCTTAGAAGGTGCTGATTGGTTGTTGGAGGTCCCCGAGAACAGTTCCCTAGGGAGAGCAGAGGAGAGGCTGTCCTAGGACATCCCCAGTGCTCTGTGATTGGCTGACATCTCACACAGGCTCTGGCTTTGTTCCCGGGCTGTGGTGGACATGATCTGGAGCCCTGCTGCCCCGCCTTCTGCAGAGTCCCAGCCTGATGCGATGGAGCCCCTCCAAGTTTGGCATCAGGGGATCCAGGCCATTCTGGGATCCAGAGCAGATCCATCCATGCCTGAAATCTTTGTGGTTGCTTAGAGTTAGGGCCGAGGCCCTGTGGTGTTTGCTAGGCGAGTGTTTAATCTCTCGTGATGAAAGCTGGCTTCTGTTGGATCCCATTTTCGGATCTCACTTTCCCATCTCGTTAAATGTCCCCGGTGTGCCTAACTCAAGACATTTATGTCCTTGCAGTTTTGTGCACAAAATTTTAAAAGGGTAAAAATAAACTTGCTTGCTGTTCAGAACTGATCTCAAGCAATAGATCTTTCCCTGGCTGTGAGTGCCAGATGGTGCCATGCCTCCTGCCAGGCTAATGAGCAAGCCTTGGCCGAAATCCTTGAGTTGTTCTTGAACCATTCCATGTACCTTCAACACAAAACTCAGCTGTCCTGTGAGGAGGAGGATAGTGCCTGCCACACCAGAGGACCAAAGACAAAGGGAGGTTGCAAAGAGATTGCTGCTTCTCAGCAATGCTTAGCATTCCATGGCGTTCAGACCTGTTTTAGGATACAGGCTTCGCTGATCTAACAGAAACTCCAAACAGGAGGGGCTTAAATGAGGAAGAATTTCCTTCTGCGTTAGGCACTTCTGTTCAGGGGCTTAGGGGGCCAGCTTCCTTCTGTTGTTCTTCCATCTCTATTATTGGTCTCACTTTTCTGGCCCAAGAAAAGGGAGGGGAAAAGGTGGAAGGAAGGGCAAAAGGAGAGAATGACCCAGAAGTTACTGGTAGCTCTTCTTTTCATAGCTGACTGGACATAGTTTGGTCACCTTGCTACCTGGCTGTGGGAGGTGCTTACAGGATGTGCAGCCGGACATGCTGCTGAATTCCCGATTCCACAGGTGAAGGGGACCGCGGCTTTGGAGGAACCACAGCAGCCCAACACAGCTCTACTGGGGCCTTCCATCTGCAGTGGAGTGTCCTAGTAACTGCAAAGGACCTAGAAGCCCTGAGAGGCCAAGAAAGGTAGGAATGGCCCACATTTTTTAGGTTCGTTATCCCGAAGGAAGAAGCAGATCTTCTAAGCTCAGTTTGCTTCTCTTGACTCTTGAGTCTGTCTGCCAATCTCTCGCTGCCTTCTGTGGATTCTGTCATCACTGGCATTTACAACATGTGGCATGTGCACGTTGGCTCTGAGGCTCTGCCCAGTGCTGCACGTGGCCAGCATTCCGACCCAATGTTCTTCAGAGCTACCAGGCAACTGACTGCAGTGTCCAGGGGGTTAGCTGGATGACACCTTTGGCTCTTGAGCCCAGCATGGTATGAGACTTGAGCATCTCAGACCATCTGGACTCTATCTGAGGTGGCAGAATTAATAAAATTCCTGGAGCTTTTTAGTATAAATCACATTTATCAAGTGGAGGTACCATGGTAAAGGTGAGCACACTCCACCCAGCCTCACCCTGTTCCTTAGCACAGCTGCTCCAAGCCCCACCTACTGGTCAGAAGATGCTGGTTAAATTTGCCAGTTTCTGGGATCTACCACAGCAGGAGAACTAACTAAAGCGGGTTCTTAGAGCGGGACCAGCAATAGGCTACCACTTGGGCTAACTGATGGGCCAGGTTTGGGAGCCACTGCTTCACAGTCTTCTTACTACTTAAAACTATTGGTAACTGGATCATAATTTCTCTTTTGTGGAGGAGTTTATATTACAGGCTAAATTGTAAATGTTAGCTACTGGACTGTTTTTTGACACTCAGCAAGTATAAAAGAGACAAAATTTATTTTCTAGATTAATAGCATTTGTGTGCGGCTCTGTAGTTTTCTTGAAATGTTTTCTTGTGGCATATTAAGTTGTCTTTAAACATTTTGGTTAACAGAAGGTAAAAATGAGCACACCAGGCAATGTTGCATGTGTACCACTTCAGAGAAATTAAATACTTCCATGTCTTCTGAAATTGATGATTTAAAAGTAAACATAAAACTCCATTCTGGAGTTCTTATGCTATTATTTCTTAGGGAGATCTTTTCTGCATAATTTGAGTAAGTTCTTAGAGTACTGTCTTTCCTCTGCTCCCCTCCCCTCCGCATTCCTTCTCCCCTCCCCATTCCTTCTCCCCTCCATGTTTGCCTTCCCAATCTTTGCCTTCCTCCTTCTGTGTCCTGTTGAAGGCCAGTGTGTTTGCTGTTTGCTAACACAACTCAGAAGCATGCATTGCTCAGGAAACAGTCTCCCAGGTTGGGGCTGGAGCCTTGATGGAAGGCTGGACCAAGTGGTTAAAGCTTTGGGTGCTTTTGTTGACTGAATGCTACTGTCCCTTTTATGTCACCCTTGGACTGTTGGTGAGTTCTCTGATAAAGGCTGGCATTTTAGGGCTGGCTGTAGCTGAATTTTTGCTCTTTTGCAATGTTTTTCCTGTTTTTGCTCTTTTGCTTTGTTTTTCCTGTTTCCTAAAAAAAAAAAGGGGGGGGGGCCTGTGCCTCATTCAGCCATTGGCTCTGGGGGCGAAACATTAAATTTGTGTTAAGAGAGACAGTGCTTTCCCTGCCCACTTGTCCTATAGGGTGGTTTACCTGCTCTCTTAAGTGAACATTAGGTGATTTTTTTTTTCTCCAGTTATATCTACATGTTTCTGCAAAAGCTCATGTACTCATAGACAGGCCTTTGAGCAGTGACTGGATCATGGGTATGTGATGCTGGATTGGTTCACTGATTGGTTTAGCATAATCCTGGTTATGGGTGATGGCGGTACTGAAAGACCAGCATGCACTGGGTGTGGGTGGCACCAACCAATAGGCTTACAAGCCTAGGTGCAATAAAAAGGGAAACAAGGAAGCCATGCTCCTGCTTGCCCTGCCATGGGCTGTTTCTCTTCTGCCGTGCTCCTCGGCATGCCATCTAGCCTTGGAATCAGCTGGTTGGACTGAGCCCTCTACTAATTGTGAGCTAAACTAAGCTTTGCCTCCTATAGCTTGTGAGGTTCGGGTATTTTGTCTCAACAATGAGAAAAGTAACCAAACCATATTCATTTTATGGTTTTGTTCCTGTAGTTGTTTGTGATCTTCTCCGGGATTTCCTAGAATCCTTTGCTTGGCAAATACCTCTGCCAAGTGGCTAGTAAGCATTACTGCTTGTTCGTTGTATGGAGTTTGAGGGAAGCAGGTTCCCAACTGATGATCTGTAGATGGAAGTGGTGCAGATGGCAGAAATGAATGCACTCTGCCCGCAGGGGCTTCAGGGATCCTGCAGAGTTACAGCTATGAGTAATGAGAGTCTTCAAAGCATTAATTAGTGGCTTGTTTGGGGACTACCTAATACTTATGTTCTCCCTCAGGTCAGTTTCTTGGAAATTAAGAATTATTTAATACTTTGCACTTAGCAAGTGTTCTATTTGGGCAGTGATGCCTGTGTTGGCCAACACTCTCTGTCCCTTCATAAAGGCTGAAAATCTCTGAGGAAGTCATTCAGAAATGCGTGGTGGACTGGCCTTGGGCACCGTAATTACCTACTTGAAGGGCTAAACAGATTTTCTGCCAAGAGAACATAGCCTTTAGGCCAGGGACTTGTGACAGGAGTGTCTTGTGATCCCTGGTATCCTCCTTCCTTCCTGGGTTCTACTAGACATTTTTGCTGTCTCTCCTGTGTTCACAGGGGCACAGCTGTTTTGTGGGATAATGGTAGCTGCTGCCAGTGACTGTCATGGTGGTCTGTCTTCACTTTTTTAGTGATTAGCCACTCTTTGTCCTTTTTAACCCTTGAGTACAATTGGGTAAGCCTGATTTGGTGCAGAGTGACTGTAAGCCTTCTGATCCAAACTGTCTCAGCACTAGCCTCCCTGCCCTGCGTCACTGGGGAGTCACTGAGCACTTACTGTACAAGAGCCATGCCGAGATCACCAAGGAGCTGATGTGAATAAAGCCGACAAGTTCTCTGGCCTCCTGGAGTTCCCATTGTGAGGTAAACAAAGGAAGCAGGATGGTCTTAGATAGTTAATGTATTGTGATCATGAAGGAAAGAAGGACCTTGTGCTTCAATCCCTCACATTTGGGTTGTGTGCAGTGGGAAGGTGTAAGCAGTGGAAAAGGCTCACCAGCCTGGGGAGGGGTGTGTGTCATGAGGCTGGAGTGAGATTGATGCCTTGGGGAGAAGTGGGGGTAGAATGCGATGAGCTTGGTGGAAAAGCAGGTCAGGTAGTGAGAGGCTGTATTTGACCAGGGTGAGGATTTTGAGTGTGTGCTGGGAAGTTATTGGAATTAAGAATAAAGCCCATCAAGGCTGTGTAAATGGCCTGGGCCCCCATAGGCTTCTCTGGTCTGGTTGAAACAAATTGGCCTGTGAACCCCTAGGTATAATCATGTATTAAACAGTGAAGTGAAAGTGGGTCCCTGGGTTAGTGGGAGCATGAAGAAGTGTCGTTTGGGAGCCCAAAGTGGGGCTGCCTGCTCTCACTGAGCTGGCGAGGCTGGAGCGTGGGTATTAAAATCCTCTATGCTTTAGCTTTAATAGGCAAATTAATTTGTCTTTCCCTTTCACTTCAAAACCCTCTATTTAACTATATTTTACATGAGGGAACCAGTTGATGGTAGAAGAGGCAGGATGGTGTAGAAGGGCAGAGAGTGGAGCAGTCGGTTGCTTCAGGAGGCTCTTCGGAAAAGAAGTTGGCAACCTTTGATGGCATTGGGTCACCTGGTGACAGCTCCAGACGGGAGGAAACAGTTTATGTGATTTGTCTTCAGAGCCTTTTCTCCTGTCACCTTCAAGTGACCTGTACTTGTCCGGACCCCCAGGTGGGTGGCACTGTGAAGGGATGTAGCAGCTGCACAATGCTAATGAGAAAGCAGAATGGTTGTCTGAGGTGGCCTTGGTGGCTGCCAGGTGCCAGCATTTTTAATCTGTCCTGATGTGCCTCCTAGAAGGCCCCTTGCCCCATGCCAAGTGCTGCCTTTTTTTTTTTTTTTTTTTTTTTTTTTTGCCTGTAAATGAGAGCAGTGATTACCCATCCCTCCCCAGGCTGCTGCTGATAGGCCCTCAAGTCTGAAAAGGTGTGCGCTCTGACGTGGTTTGCTATCTGTAATAGATATTGTCAGCACTTAGAATGGTCACTAAAGCCCTTTCCCCTCTGTGATTATTGGTTTAATGGTTGGTTGATACTAATGAATACATAAGATGCTAGTTTTATGGCATTGTTTTTATTATTGAGTACCCTTGAAAGCCATTCAGCCCAAGAGTGTGGGCTTAGCAGTAGCTTACATCTGTCTCTGAGTTCCTTCCTTTGCCGCTCCTCTCTCTGCCTCCTGCCCCAGTAGTCAGTGTCCAGAAACGTGTGCGCAGCTTTTGCATGTTGCTGGCTGCTATGTTTGTGTTCAAATATATGTGTTGAGAACTCTTAGTGATGATATTAAATAAAAGATTGGGGGCTTTGGGGAGATGATTATGTCATGAGGGTGGAAGCCTCATGAATGGGATTAGCGCCCTTGTGAAAGAGTCTCAGAGAGAGCTTGTTCATCCCCTTCCCCATGGGAAGCCACAGCTAGAAAATGCCATTTATGAAGCTAAGAGCAACCCATCCCAGACAGCAGTTTGCTAGGGCCTTGATCTGGTATATTCCACAACTGTGGGCAAAAACTCTTCTACGTATAAATTAGCCAGTCTAAGGTATTTGTGTATAGGAACCCAAAAAGACTGCAACACTGGTGCAGAACTCAGTAGCCATGATGCTTTAGGAGTCAGGCTCTAGTTGCCAGTCTCTGTAGCTCTTTGATCTTTAGTCTCTGTGTGTGTGTGTGTGTGTGTGTGTGTGTGTGCATGCATGCACGCACGTGTGCATGCACGCACGCGTGCCCGTGCACATGTGCGTGCATATTCTGTATAGTAGGAATGTCTGTAGAAAGTTCTCCTTTGAAATGAGCAGTATATCAGCAGCACATTGTAGGTAGGCACTTTTAAAGTCTTTCTAAATCCTCTGAGGTCCACTGTCTCCTCCTGTAGCAGTTATTTTGTAATGGTCTCTTTACCATTCTGAAT